TAGTTGAAAAGAGGGCTCAAAACCTGCCTGGCTTAACTTCAGTCAAGGAGAGAATCCATTAGTATACAGAAGATATTTATCACACTACCACAGATTCTAGACATTATTTTTTTTTTAACTTCATATCTTTCGGTAATATATCCAATGTTTCCAAAGAAAAATGTTGATTTTATTTACGCATGTAACCCAAAAGATGTGTTTCCTTCCCCAAATTATGTATTTGCTAAGCATGTTTGATTTTTTAAAAAATATTTTTATTAGCTGTTGAAGGACCTTTATTTTATTTACTTATTTATTTGTGGTGCTGAGAATCGAACCCAGTGCCTCACACATGCTAGGCAAGTGCTCTACCACAGAGCTACAAACCTAGCCCCATGGAAATTAAAATGGAAAAAGATCTAGATACATAGATTTAACACCACACACAAACACACACACAAAAGCTTAAACAAGAGTATATATTTAGGGGCTGGGGATGTGGCTCAAGCGGTAGCGCGCTCACCTGGCATGCATGCGCCCCAGGTTCAATCCTCAGCACCACATACCAACAAAGACGTTGTGTCCGCCCAAAACTAAAAAAAAAATATTAAAAAATTCTCTCTCTCTCTCTCTCTGCCCCCCCCCTCTTTTTTTTTAAAAAAAGAGTGTATATTTAAAAATAAATTATGAGGGCTGAGGATATAGCTTAGTTGGTACAGTACAGGCCTCACATGCACAAGGCCCTGGGTTCAATCCCCAGCACCACAAAAAAAAAAAAAAAAAATTAGGGAACTTCTACTGGCTATAATGGAGTAGCTTTTAGTAGACTAATAACATAAGTGAGATCTCAAATAGCTGAATGAGATATAAAGGGGAAAAAAATCTCTTTATAAACCTTAATATAGTCCAAAGGCAGCTAGACTGAGAGGAAGAAAATCCTGATTGAGCCAAATTCAGTATTGCATTTGCAACTGAGAATTTGCTAAATCTTAGGCTAAGTGTAATGCCCAGCTAAGATGCCCAGCAGAGGGTGGCTGCCAAAAAAAGAAACCACCAGAACTTTAGGACATCCCATAGGGTTAGGTAGGAAGAATAAAATTCCAGCCTACTAAAGCAGTCAGTAATTGAAGGCCCTAAGTCCCAAAGAGAAGAGGGACCTGGCATTGTGACAAGTTTTTCCTGACATTTCATTTGTAAGATACACATATCAGTTGAATTAGATGTCCACTCATTGATACTGAAAAGCTGAATGGATCTTACAACAGACACAGATAAGCAAGAACTGGAGTATAGCACAGACCTTCATAAGGGGTCTTCATAATCATAATGGGCATTCCTGACAGAAAATAATTCTTCCAACAAACTCTGAAACACCACTTGAGACAAAACCAGTCACTGACTGGGCTGCAGTGACCTTACATATTCTCAGTGCTTCAAAAAATTAAAGAAAATATTTAATGAAAAAATATAATTTTATTTCATGTCTTTAAGATTTCCAAAAGAAATATTATAAAATATTTTCAATACTTAAAAAAAGTCTTCAGCTTTTAAAACTATGTCTAGAAATTAGATTGGTATAACAGTTCATGACCTCAAAATAAATCTCAGATTATTTGTTTTTATATACAGAAAAAAAGATGGAGATTAATAAAAGCAGAACATTGTGTAAATGTATTTTTGCTAAATATAAATATGTATGTACATTATTACAATAAACCTATATGTAAATACATATATAAATATATATGGCTATTGACAACAGACCAACATTTTAGCAGAGTAAAATTTTTAGAAAGTGACAGTGATTCTGATTTCTTAGTTTTATTGCTTAAGATTTGAAAAAGTAGTTTCAAACCTCTGAACAGGTTTGCTCCTGACAACCTTTAGAAAAAAGAATTATACAAAAAAATAAAGAAATTTGATATTTTTTGGAAGTCTTGTTTTTATTTTAAATATAATATTTTAAAATTTCTATTGAATGTTCACCCATACTTATCTTGCTGTGAAAAATCCCAGATGGAAGTATTGTTTAAGGTATTAAAAGTATAGAGACCAAGTATTAACTGAGCCCTGAAAATACTGAGTTAAGGCAGGGAGTAGAGAGAGTTCCAACAAGAAAATATCCTGGCCCTTTATTTATTGGGTTATTTGGGTTTTTTTTTTTTTGGTCCTTAGCTTTTTGAGTTCTTTATATACCCTAGAGATTAGTGCTTTATCTGATGTGTGAGGGGTGAAGATTTGCTCCCAAGATGTAGGCTCTCTATTTACCTCACAGATTGTTTCTTCTGCTGAGAAGAAATTTTTTAGTTTGATTCCTTTCCAGAAGATGATGTACAATCAATCAAAAAATATATGAAAAAATGTTCTTCATCACTAGCAATTAGAGAAATGCAAATCAAAACCACTCTTAAGATTTCATCTCACTCCAGTCAGAATGACAGCTATTATGAATACAAACAACAATAAGTGTTGGCAAGGATGTGGGGAAAAAGGTACAGTCATACATTGCTGGTGGAATTGCAAATTGGTGCAGCCAATATGGAAAACAGTATGCAGATTTCTTAGAAAATTGGGAATGGAATCACCATTTGACCCAGCTATCCCTCTCCTCAGTCTATATACAAAGGGCTTAAAAACAGCATACTACTGGGACACAACCACATCAATGTTTATAGCAGCCCAAAACTGTGGAACCAACCTAGATGCCCTTCAATAGATGAATAGATTTTAAAAAGTAGCATATATACACAATGGAATATTACTCATCAATAAAAGAGAATAAAATCATGAAATTTGCAGATAAATGGATGGAGTTAGAGAAGATAATGCTAAGTGAAGCTAGCCAATCCCCACAAAACCAATGCTGGATGTTTTCTTTGATATAAGGAGGCTGATTCATATTGGGGTAGGGAGGGGATGTGTGGGAGGAATAATGAAATCTAGATAGGGCAGGGGGTGGTAGGGAAGGGAAGGGTCATGGGTTTAGAAATGATGGTGGAATATGATGGACATTTTTATCCAAAGTACATGTATGAAGACACGAATTGTTGTGAATATACTTTGTATACAACCAGAGATATGAAAAATTGTGCTCTATATGTGTAATGAGGATTGTAATGCATTCAGCTGTCATATATAAGTAAAAATTAATTAAAAATAAAAATAATTTTGCTATGAAAATATAATATTGTTATATTATAATGGCACAAATAAAAGATTTATTCCAATATTAAAAACAAAAAAAGAAAAAGATCTTGAACAAATAATAAGAGAAGCAGCAGGTTCAGGACAAAAGTTCTTAAAAGGAAACGTGCTCATAATATTAGTGGAGAGCAGACTGAAAGTCAAATATATATAAAAATTATGACATTTCTCCTAAAGATATCAGAGGATATTATAAAACACAAGTAGGATTGAAAGAACAACACAATAACACAATCTTGATTCAGATTAATTAAACATTGTGTTACATACTAGACAATCTTAGCATTACTTTTAGATCACATTTAGATCATTTAGATGAAATTTATTTTTCTTCTCATTCTTTACTACAGATACTAGTATGTGAAATTGTCTCACCACCAGTTCTTTGATCAGTACTCTGGTAGGATACTTCTATGATAAGGGTCCATGCATTTTGAAACATGAAATCTAGTGAGACAAGCTACTTCATTATCTTGCACACAATTAAGAAGCAGCTATTTTAAAAATTTTGTACTAAAAATAAACATTATAAAATCATTTTTTTCAACCAAGAGTTTCACGAATATTCTTCCCAAAATTAACTTTTTAAATGACTATATTCAGAAGTGGACTGTAAAGATGAAATAGTTTTGAGAAAGAGAGGAAGTATCTGGATCTAGAAATTGTGCCAGGAGCCAATTGGCCTCATTAACTAGTGCACATGCAGGAGTATAGTGAAAAAGGAAGATAAATTAACCCTGACTCAGCCTGGATTATGAAGTTAGACAGCAAGTGTCTCTTTTCATGAAGTCTGATGTTTGACATGGAACAAATTATGAGAAATTTTTCTAGTTAAGAGGGAAGTCTCAGGAATATTTTCACATTGCCACATAAATTTCCACACCTGAAACTATTATTAAATGTACAAACAAAGCATAATACATGAAATTTTATTCAAAAGCAATTTTACTTCTTGACAAGCAACATTTTATCTTAGTTGTAAAAAATTAAAATGTTATAAAAAAAATAAACTTACCCATCAGACCTAGGTCCGATCAGTTAAAAGTTGTGTTTGATTTCATTGGTTGTTTTTATTTAAATTTTTGTAGTCTCTTCTGATTACTGCCCTACCTATTTTTCTTTAGGAAATACCTCTTCTTTCATTTGCAGCCATTTTCTCCCACAGGTTAGGAATGGAGCAGATTCCTAGGCACCAACCCTGCTTTACCTTACTTGTTCAACCATAGAGGTACTTCAGTTAATCTGAACCGAACTAAATAACACTGTTGATGGAACTTCTAGAAAATAAACCTGCATTTTACTATCTAATTAAAACTGAAATTTTTCAAGTCCAAAGATTGTATGAGTATCTTGGAAAGACAGGGAAAACCTTGCTGAATATGGAATGAATTGGGAGAAAATTGTGACTGAGTAATGAAGGGAAAAAAAGTAGCATGGACTTAAGATATCCCATTTAGCTGCCTCTTGAGCTACTTCACAATATAACAGTCTTATCATACAATTTCCTCTTAAACTAGTTTGGCTTGAATTTTATGCCACTTTGTTGCGATGGCAAAGGTGTGACTTATGCAGTCTAGGGGGAGAAATAACGAATGTCCACACGCTTATGCCTTTGTCAATACTTTATTCATCCAAATCACTCAATACAATTTTACTCTATAGGTTCTTAATCAAGAAAATGACAATGCTTAATGCTAGGCACTACAATAGACATAATCAATTCACAGCAAACAATTCTAGATTAATTAATTCACATCAAACAATTCTAGATTAATTCTAAGCACTGCAAACACACTTAACCATGACAGGCTCATGACAGACATACCCTCTGCAGGCTAAGTCAAGTGTCAGATCAAAAGTCTCAAGCCTTAGGCTTTAAGTCCAGCAGAGGCACAATCACTCAGACCACAGTGATTAGATCAGGAACCCAGGCAGGCTTTTTCTGGGGTGGAGCTGATGGCTGGCTGGGGAAGAGGTCAAAGAGAGAAGTCCTTTTCTCACCAGAGTCAAGAGGCTGCTGTAGAGTTTGAGAGAAGTGAGAACAACACAGAGGATCAGACAGAAGAGAAGAGTTGGGATGTCAGTCCAGGTCCTCATCAGACTCTCAGGTTTGTGTGCATCAGTGTCTGCTGGCTGAATGTCTGTCTATTTGCCTCATCATTTATACTAAATTTTGGGCCTTTTGACCACCCCCCACCTTTCAATCCCTATCAGCTGCCACCAAGTCTCTCAGTGACATTATTTACCCTGGGGTCAAAGCATCTGGTCTGATGATCCCCACCCTGATTTTCTCACCTTTCCCCCTTATCAGGGAAAGGACAACAGGACAGAGACTTCACTCTCAGTTTGTCAGGTGACCCAGTCAGGAGACCCTGACTTGTTGGTGCCTGAGGGCCATACTAGAGGGCTCCATAGGTGGTGCCTGGTGAGACTGCAGGTTTCAAACTGGAGTTTTTAAAATGGTATTGCTTAGGCTCAGGACTAAGGCCATCCTTACACACTTACAAACCAGAGTTTTAACTGACATACCAACTGAACTTATGGATGCAAATCTAATCATTAGCCTTTATTGGCCGAGTCTTCCCATTCTTATTTTATGGTGGTGACTTCCATGTGGAGTCCCTAAAATATCAGTTTCAATGGGATTATAGATAATTTGTCATGAAGACTGGCCTATCTGCAGCATTATAAAAACAATGGGGTCCTACATAGAAAAACATTGCTGAAAAATGCTATAGGAAGCAGAGTTAGGGAAATAAAAACTGCATCTTTCAATTAAATGGTATACAAGTAGGCCTTGTTACAATATTTACTGAAAAGATTATGGACTAAAATTTGGCACTTGAATAATACTCTCAGGGGGTCAAAATGGTACTTTATTTAGTTTTCTGAAGAAATTGTTCAGCTTCCATTTATTTCCCTGCTGTTACATTCAAACTTATTTAAACAAACATATACATATAAAGTAAAATTAACAGAAAAATTAGACTAATGTGATTTTTTTTCTCTAAAAAATTGCTTCAATATGTGACCTCCTTAGCTTAACATTTATTTCACTCATTGCAACATTCGATGCTGAAATTTGCTAACTTACTTCACTCACCATTTTCTTTCTTACATAGTCTTCTTTAGTCAAGCTTACAGCCCATAATTTTCTGGAGTGATAATAGGTATTTCCATAGCTATAACTGTGCTTTATTGGAATGTTTCTAATTCTTCATTTGACAGTATTCGCATTTTATGAATATTATAAGTTATTTCAAGTACAATTTAGAATTCCACTTATATTATAAAATCCAAAACCTCCTTTTGTCTTTCATTTCAACGTAGTGTCTTATTCCTCTGAGAATAGATACATTTTCACTTGAGCATTTTGTTTTTGTACTTGTTCAAATAAATTTACTCATTTATCCTCTGTGTGTGTGTGTGTGTGTGTGTGTGTGTGTGTGTGTGTGAGAGAGAGAGAGAGAGAGAGAGAGAGAGAGAGAGAGAAGGAGAGGGAGTACTCCATTATTGAATTACATCTTATATCATGGGACCTTTTATTTAATTTTTATTTTTATTTTGAGACAATGTCTTAGTAAGTTGCTATTATGGTTTAGACATGAGAGGTCCCCCAAATGCTCCTGTTAATGCAGGAATATTCAGAGGAAAAATGATCCTATTATAAGCACTGTAACCTATTACTCCATACTACTTTAGATGGACTGACTGGGTGGTAACTGTAGCCAGGTGGGGCATAGCTAGAGGAGATAGGTCACTGGGAGCATGCCCTGGAAGTATAAAGCATCCCCTGTGGCCCAGTCCCTCTCCCTCTCTTTTGGATCCTGACCCTGAAATGAACTGAATGAATAGTTTTCCTCCCCTGGGTCATTCCCCCATGATGTTCTGCCTCATCTTAGGTCCAGAGCAATGAAATCAGCCATCTATAACCTGAGATCCTCTGAAACTGTGAACACCAAATAAACTTTTCCTCCTTTAAGTTGTTCTTAAAGAGTCCTTTGGTCACAGTGGCACAAAAACTATATCAGTTGCCAAGG